GCAGAAAGACTATGTGGAGACGACATCCAAAGAAGGACAGAGAAAGTCATTGAAGACAAAGGATGAAATTATTGTCAGCACACAAGACATCATATGTCCAATGTACTCATATGAGAAATGTCCTCAACAACAAGTTGACACGTACGTAAATAATAAAATATAATATCTTTAATTACATCACATTAAAATATCATTTAAAAAAAATCCTTGAATACAGGGTCGACTGTGGATTGTACGTGTGTTACTTAATGTAGCAGCTTGCTCGTGGACAGCCGATAGAAGATAAATTGAAACCACCACAAATTATTGCTCTTCGGATCGATATGGTCACTACATTCATAAACCATAGGAATGCATGGACTGTTGAAGATTACAAGACAAGAGCCAGATTAAGAAAGAGATACAAAGACAAATAGGAAGTACTAATGAGTGGGACAGCTATTCATTTTTAGGTTAATTGCAGGATTGGTTAGAAAATTGGTTGTAATTGTTGAGTGGTTGATATTTGGTTAAAAATTGGTTGTAATTGTTAGGTGGTTGATATTTGATTGTAATGGAATGTTTGTAGAACAAAGGAATCTTTGTCCACATTGTTATTCAAATAGTAACACAAACAGTAACATGTACAAAAATTGTTTCAAATTACAAATTCTATATGATTATAGAATGCTGAAATGAAGTTGTTAGTGAAATGTAAATGTTGTTATCCACATGGTTGGGTATCGTTTGTATCATTTCTTTCAAAAATAGTTGATAACTCTTTCATGCTTGGTTATCCAAACATAGTAACATGTGTAGTAACATGATTTAAATTTCTCCAAATTAAGCAATCACACAAAATCCTTGTTAAAAAGTAACATCAGTTACTATATAACATGAGCATTAAAAAGTAACATTGGGGTCTCATTAACAATAACATGAAACAGATATTGGTCATGCAAGGATAATACTTCACTATTAACTTATCACACAATTTAACCCGTGATATTCCCAATGTCTAACATGACAAACACAAAAATAGCTAAAAACAAAAGTAACATCTTATTCCAAAAAAATATACTGAATATTACAATGGCTCGTTTACAAGTCTTCTTATTATGACTATCTAAACGGCCACAACGGCCACAATGAATTTTCCTAACAAGCTCACCTCTAGACCTAAATCTAAGCTTCCTTGGACGGTCTGGTTGTTTTTTTGACAATGGTAGCAACATATCAACATCAACCGCTGAAAAGTCTAGATAACTGAGTGTTGGAATAGGGTGTATAGGCTCAGAATAACACAGTCTGTAAGTAGTAACCTGATAATAATAATCAACAAACTTATTGATATTCCTACCACTCTTTTGAATTGTAGCCACAGCATGGGCACATTGTAAACCGTTGATCTGTCATTGGTGGCATAAGCACGTGCAACTCTCAATGTCAACCGTCACTGAAGGATGTGAATTAACCTCGAAAACATGACTTGATGACACCATAACAAACCAGGAACGACACTCAGTGAAAGCAGCTTGAAGTTTGGATTCAATATTTGGACAATTAATGTCGTTCCACTGTGACTATGTATTCAAGCGGCTGCCCATTTGGTTCATGATCTGCCCCCTTATTATGTCAACCATGCTTGTGATAGGTAAGTGACGTGACTTCGTGATCCAAGCATTGAATGACTCAGCATCATTTGAAGACATTTTCCCATAACTTTTACCCTTGAAAAAAGCATTCACCCATTTCTCAAATGGAAGGTTTTTCAAAAACTTATCAGCAACGGTTCCTCCTTCAAATTGAAAATCATCAAGATTTTCATTGAAAAATGCCTCTATCGGAGCATAAGCACACAATGTAAACAAAAAAACCATACACTCGTGAAACACATGGGTAAAACGACCCCCACTAATTTATCTCTCAGATTTGCTTTTAGATGTTGTAAGCAGAACAAATGGTGCACCGTTGGGAACACCTTTGGCATTTCTTCCATCAAGCCAACATTACGATTGGACATAATGGTAAGGTCCCTAGTATTATCAACAATCTCAGCTAATTGTTCTAAAAACCAACGCCAATTACACTCATTCTCCGAATCAACAACAGCAAAAGCCAAAGGGAACAAACCTGCAGTACATATAGCAACACAAGCAGTAACATATATACAAAAATTAAAATGTAACATTAAAATAAAATCAGTAATACCAAAATAAACAAAAAAAAATCACTTTGGTTGCCATCTTTTGCAGTTGCAGACAAAATAATGCCTTTATACCTTCCCTTTAAAAATGTACCATCAATGAACAATATGAGTCGACAGTAGTTAAATCCATGTATACATGCCTTAAATGACATGAATAACCTACTAAAACGTTGCGTGTCCGAATCACCTTCCAACACAAAATGACTATCCGGATTGCTTTAATTTGCAGCCTGTACATACCACCGTAATTGTTGGTATGACAACGAATGATCCCCAAACAGTATACCCCTTACTTTTTCAACACCCATCCAAGCTTGATCACACGATATGGTCAAACAATAATCTGTATGAAACATACTTTTCACGTCAATTGGTCGTGTGTTAGGTTTTTGTCTGACATTGTCAACAATAAGACCTCCAACCAAATTATAAGTCAATCTTTTGTTCATTGTCGTCCGTGCAGCCACATCGCATGTGTGTTCATTGTTTAACTTCTTAATGTAAAACTATTCATTTATCCGTTGGAGTGTAGCAACAATAAACCACTCACACCCAGTAGAATATTTCATTACACATTCAGTTTTCACCCTTGTTTTTTCATTCTTCACATAATTAAACTGAAAACCAACCTCGATTGCATATTTGCATAACACATTCCGAAAATTAGCTACTCCTCTCTCAAACTTCTGCCCCACCTCTACTATTCCATTGGACCATCCATCAGTCAACAAAACCTTCTCATTGTGAGAACAAAAACGAGGGAGAAGATCATCCTCGCGACTAACAGGGTCAACAGTTAATTCAGAACTTTCCACAACTTCCCCACCCTCAAAATCATGAACAACATTCCCTTTAACAACAATTGTAACTTCAACAAAATTCAACTTAACAGATTGTGTAATTAGAAACATGTTTCTCACATCATAATCATTTTACAAAGTACAAACCGGATGTCCAGGAATAACGTACGACAGGGCAACACAATTGACACTCAAACCATTTCAATTGTCACAAACACCATATAACACATCATCAATTGTGGAATGCATTGAAATTCTTAGCACAACAATCTCAGAAGAATACTTGCAACAAACCAATATGTTATCATCCATTTGTTATAACCAATAAAACAAAAATATAGGAAAACAAACATAACCAATTCTAATTCCAATAAATCACTACCAGTAACATGATAAAAAAATCTAGAACCTAATTTAAAAAAAAAATTCAATAAGGAACATCGCGATACGAATACCAAAAATTTACATTGTATTTCGGCAATAACAAAGGAACAAAAAACAAAAAATAAGCAATTATAATTCCAATAAAATCATGAACAGTAACATGAAAAATAAACTTAGTACCTAATAAAAATAAATAAAAAATTAAAAAAAACTCCAGTGAAAAAAGTTGCAATACAAATTTTCAGTAAGTAACTTAGAATTTTTGGCGAATGAATATCAATTTATGCAAAAAAATTCAAAACAGCACTGAAATTCATATTATGTAAATCAGCAAATTACAATGAAAATACCTCACCAAATAATAATTAATCATATTATGTAAATCAGCCAATTACAATGAACATATCTCAGGAAATAAATAATCAGTAATTTAACTTGGAATCACAGCAAAATTCGAACTCCCAATTAATGTTTGTATCACATTCGATAATCCTATCAAACAAAAATGACGTAGTGGTATCACGTGAATAAGAATGACACCACCGCCTTCCTGGAAAAAATTAGTCACTCGAATTTCCGGTGAGAAAGAAACTTAACGTAATAGACAACAAAGTTCCTGAGTTTCAGAAATTGAAATTTGAATTTGAATTTGAATCTGTTAATGTAAAATTTTGAACTGAATTTGAGATAATAGCCCATTAATTTTGACGTAAATCATGCAGCCAAATATGATATATTTTATTCCATAAAAAACTAAATATAACTGTTACCATATATATCTCAAAATATCTAACCTATAACTTTCCATAATTGTTCAAGATTAACACTGTTAAGGATATTTTTGAGATTAAAAAAAAATGGACTTAAATCGGTATATATAATTTTAAAAGTGGACTTAACCCCTTATATATTTTCTTACCGGACTTATTTCCAAACAAATACATATAGGGAGACTCACCCCCAATTTCACTTTAATTTTTAATTAGTAAATATAGACATTGTGAGTTTAATAATTAACAGAGTGAATATGGATGAAATAAATTTAGTAGTTTAAAATAACATAATTAAATAGAGCGAAAAATGACATTTAAGGGGTTATTCGACTTCCACTTGCCAAACGCGTAAGGATTTCCTCTTTCTGCGATTTCCACTCAGCTGCTGATCAGCTCTAAATGGATATACTTCACAGAAAAAAAAAACACTTCCAGTACAATACTAAAAGGCGTGCTTTTATCTGAATATTAAGCATAATCCCACCATCCAGACAAATATACTCGACACTCGTCATCCATCTGATGTACTCGGAACCCCGTGCTCCAATTTATTAAATCAAATTACTAAAAACTACAAAAGTCTAGAAATACTGTCTGCAAAACTGGCGAAAAATAAAATTGGATTCTTTTCAATGGTTTATCAAATGACGGCACGTTGTCCAAGTCTCTTATTTTTATTTTTTTCTGGAAGAAGAAAAGAACCAGAATATATGTTAAGCGCAGAAACCTCTGTTGATTCCCAGCTACAAGGAATTAAAAAGTGAAAACAAGTCTGCCGATATTAATAAAGGCTCGGTAGTTTCATGGCCTCTCAATTGATTATTTCTCAGCCGTATGTATTTCAGCAATGAATCCCTAAGCAGATCTTGTAACCTCATGGATAGCATTTGCCAAGTATCCAACATTGCCTGTAGTAACTCCTGCCATACTGCACATATTGTAGGCATATTTAGCAAAATTCCCCAATCGTCCAAAGAATTCGTCGAATAACACATACACATGAAGATAGAGCTCACAATTGAACATAGTACCTAATACGACCATTGCGGGTCATATATATATGAAATTCATTTGTCAAACGATCAATTTCTTCAGGTGTCATCCCACTATAGCAAAACATGCCAATCTGTGTGCAATACCCAGAATGATTGTGAATGAAAACAATAGAAAAATTCAAACTTGGAGAACTGACAGAGAATAGCAGTACAAAAATTTGATGAATAGCAATACCTGCTTGGTTATGTGCTCCCATGAAAGCCGTGACCCCAAGTTTTCGAGGTTTTCTTTCAGAGCAGTTCGCATTCCGATGATACGATCAGCCATGGCCTAGAGAAAATGTCAGAGATACAGTTCAAACAACAGATATATAGCTAGAATAACAATAAGCTTTACCACAATAGCAAAAGGCATGGCACATCACAATTTCGCACTATAAAGCATTGCATGCCATGCACTTGGAGGCATGTCTGATATAGGCTAGACATGCCCAATACCAGCCTAGACATTTTACAGGCATCCCACCCTTTTTACTGACCAATATAGTTATCTTTTTACAATTAAAATCTGATGAGGCATTTATTATATGGTCATATCAGGGCCAATATTGTTGACTTGAATCCTGTGGACAGATTCATATGATCGGTTGGCGTTTCTATACAACATAAAACCCAGCAATGGGGGCTTATCCCATTAGCTTTCCCCATTGGAGATCATACAACGGATGGTCATCTCAAATCTTTTGACATTCTAAAAGCATTGGATTGTTATTTTCCACTCCCTAATTGCCAATCCATTTCATCTTTAGTAAGGGCAAAAAAATCTTGGAAATAACTCCATACAACAAAAAGAGAAAGCCATTAGGGGAGATTAGTCCTAATTCAGAAACTTTTGTATAAAGACATCGATATTTTCAAGATTCACCAAATCAACAAGGAAGGATCGATGTAGATGTTATAATTGACCTCGACTGAACTTAACTCAATAAAGTCTTATCCCAACATTTTTGAGATTGACTGCATGAATCTTGTTTTGTCATTGTGCTGTGGCTATACGTTTTGTTAAACCATAAGTTATCATATCGTTCTTTACTATTTCATTTATAGTTAATTTTGGTCTTTCACTCTTTCTCATCAGTGCCTTAGTAAGCCGTCTATGTATATATCCAAACCAAGCAAGAATGATTCATGTTACCCTCCAAATCTTAATAATTCCTTTATGTGATTTTTGAGAAGTGAAATCTTATTGCTTGTTAAGTTGAGAGAATTAACATAACACAATATTAGAGAGAAAAAGAGAGGTTAAAAACTTAACCTAACTCTCATAGATCACTTGTATTTATAGTAAACTCATAATAATAAGAATTACACATACACCCTCTTACTATTAACAATTTATACATACTACCCTAATATTCTTAACACTTCCCCTCAAGCTAGACTATATATATCATATAATCCAAACTTTGAACAAATCGCTGTAAGACGTGTACGACTTAATGCTTTAGTAAACATATCTGCAAGTTAATATTCAGATTTCACAAATGGAGTTGTAATCTCCCCATCTACTATCTTGTCTCGAATAAAGTGACAATCAACCTCAATATGTTTGGTTCTCTCGTGAAACACCGGATTAACAGCAATATGGATAGCTGTCTGGTTGTCACAGAACAACTGTAAAAAAAGTTGAACTGGAAACCCAATTTCCTGGAGGAAGTGTAGTAGTCAAGTCAACTCACTCGTCGTAT